TCTTTGTGTTGGGCTGCAGCCCATTTACAAATGAGAACTAAATAAGATTGAAGTGCAGCAGAAGTGGAGCAGGGAAAGCTGCCCCGGCTGTGCAGCAAAAGCGGTCTGTGTATTTCACCTGCAGCTCTGACGCAGGCACAGCCACTCAAGGGAGGAGGGGGTGGGAAGGTGAGGGGAGATCACACTCAGGTGTGCCCCTTCCTAAACAAATGCTGATTACCATAAACATGATGGGTGGCATTAACTGGAACAACCTGTGCCATGGCCAACTGGGAAGTGCACAGCGGTGCCAGCTGCCAGATTTTAGTTTATATTTTGGCAAAACACTGGCACTCCATCACCAATGTTTTAGTTTCACAGTGTGCATAAAATGAATATTTTAAAACATTGCCCAAATCTGTCTCAGCAGGTTAGTCTGCAGCTTGTCAAAGCGCTCTGCCATTTAGCTTGATGGTTGTGCGTATTTGGTGCACCTGAATGCGGACTGTAGCAGAACACAGGCAGAATGTGGAATCTGGAAAACCTCCGATTATAATGTTGTATCTAGTGGGGTGGTTCTTCCCCCCTCACCCACCTGGTCTTTCTTAGCGCGGGGGGGGGGGGAATCTGATGGGCATTTCTGCAATAGGATAAGAATGGTGGGACCTTCCTATAGTCAACACAGTGAAATTTTAAGTGGCTCAGAATTCCCTGCCCCAACTCTTAGTCCCAAGTCTATGTCTTCCACTCCCATCCACAAAACGTCTCTTTCATTCCATGCTTGCCCTTCCTATTTCTGGAAGTTCTTTCAAGAAATTCCAAACGAGGCAGAACGCACGGGCATTGAAATGGGAGGCGGGATTGGGACCAGACAATAAAAGCGTTTTTATCCAATATGCTTTGCATTAGTGGAAAGCCCTTATGCTCATGGCTACCTCTGAAGGTCCACACGTTCTCCACCCCTACATTAGTGGAAAGGAAAATCACTGTTCAGGGTAATTTCCAGATCTGCTTGACAAAGAATTTTCATTTTAGGTCTAGAGCCTGCCTCTTGCCTTTTGGTAACACCCATAACCGTCTTTGCTACAACTCTCAAGCGGCAATCCTATGCCACTCATGGGTGAGCAAGTCCCACTGTGATGATCCAAGTGAGCACACGCAGGATTGCAGACAGCATGTTCTCCAACATTTCTCCAATGAAAATAGGGATGTCCCATTCCATAATGGTAATTTGGTTTCCCCAGCTACTCTGGGAAGCTTCCAACATATATAAAAACATAATTAAACATTTTTTAAAAACTTGGCTCAAGGGTTGGATAACTCCATACCCTCCAACATTTCTCCAATGAAAATAGGGACATCTTAAGGAAAGGTCGGGCATTTCCAAGTCAAATTAGAAACCGGGACAGCTTCTCGAAATCAGGGACATCCCTGGAAAATAGGGACACTTGGAGGGTCTGAGACAGTGCGTATTTCCTGCTTGTGCTGATCATTGGCTATGTGTACTGCAGACTGCACAAGCATGAGTCTGCAACACATGTGCAGCCTGCCTCACCGTTTCTGTCTCCATTCAGGTAGGTAGCCGTGTTGGTCTGATGCAGTCAATATATATATATATAAATATTAAAAATTGCTCAGTAGTACCTTAAAGTAAAGGTAAAGGGACCCCTGTCCATTAAGTCCAGACATGGCCGACTCTGGGGTTGCGGCGCTCATCTTGCTTTATTGGCCGAGGGAGCCAGCGTACAGCTTCCGGGTCATGTGGCCAGCATTCTGGTGAACCAGAGCAGCTCACGGAAATGCCGTTTACCTTCCTGCCGGAGCGGTACCTATTTATCTACTTGCACTTTGACGTGCTTTTGAACTGCTAGGTTGGCAGGAGCAGGGACCGAGCAACGGGAGCTCACCCCGTCACGGGGAGTTGAACAGCTGACCTTCTGATCAGCAAGTTCTTAGTATAAGCCTTCGTGTGCATGCACACTTCTTCAGATTCACTGAAACAGAAGTCACCAGACCCTTATATATAGTGGGAGAGTGGGGTGGGGTTTTTCTCAGGAGGGTAGCAGGAGATGGGTGATTGACTCAATGGTATGGTAAATCTGTTGACAACTGTTAATGACTGCAATTAGTCCTACAAGAAAAAGCAAGGGATAGTATCTTAGAAACCCCAGCTCAGACTTGGTTCAGCTTTGCTGACAGCTTGGCTGCTGTTTTCATGCTGCCTTTGTAACTATCCCGACTTCAACACCACCAGCCCTCCTCCGTCATCCTCTTTTTCTCTTTGTTCTCCACCTTTTAACTAGGGAAGCCCCATAGCTCAGTGCTAGAGCATCTGGAACTCTGGAGAGGTCCTGCCAATCAGCAAAGACAATACTGGGCTAGGTATGCCAATGATCTGACACAGTATAAGGCAGCTTCCTACGTTCCTATCGACCAAGAATTGCAACATACGGTCTCTGTCAGAAGAGCCAAGCCTTTGCACACAGAAGCAGAAACCTTTTGTTTCTGACAGCCAGGTGCTGAGGCATCCTCACCGCTATCATTGGCTCCACACATTGGTCCTGCTTAGCTGCCAGGAGGATGCAGAGAAACATTGTTCTGGTTCTACCTACCTAGGCAGTGGCTGGCTTTGCATTTTCTCACAGATAAGCACCATTCAGGGGAAGCTGTGCCTGCGCGTGAAGCGATTATACTGATGGTGGCTTGCGCTAAACGACTGTGATTGGAGCCATGACAGCGCAGCCTTATAGGCTCTTTCTTTCTTTTGTCCTTCCAAAAGAGGACCCAGCCCACACAAGCAAGGCAACAATGAGGAACAAAGCTCGGCTTTCCTAAGATTAATGGGTGGGTCTACCATAACGAATCAGTACCATTGCACTTTGCATGCTGGGGTTAGGGGTGGAATAAAGTAGCCTTCCAGAGACTAACTCTGATAGTTGGGGAAATATCAGGGGAGGGTACAAAGTAAGTGTGAATCATAAGATGCTAGACTCATTTGCATGGGCATTCTGTATCCATAGGTTTTAGATCTTGTGCATTCTTACAGCGATCACATAAGAACATAAAAAGAGCCTGCTGGATCAGCCCCATGATCCTGTCAGCGGCTGAGCCTACACATGAGTAGGACCCTGGCAGAGACACATGCCCGACTGGCATGTTCCCTCCCTCCTGGTTAATCAATTGGGAGCTTCAAAAGCTTTCTTCAGCCCGAACATCACAATGACCGATGCCAACTGACACTGGCACACTTAGGGATCTGCAGAGTCTTCGCAACTTGCATGACAGACCTCAGCAACTCAGCATTTTGGCTAATCTACTTTATTTACACATATAAACACACACAGAGCACTGCAACATGGCTCCCTCTCTCTCTAGCATCAGACAGCAAAGAGAAAAAGAACAAAGGTCAATAGTCCCACTTCACAGAACACAGTAACACAAACATCCTGTCTCTGTCACTTCACACTCTGTGGAGTCATAACATATACCGTCATGTGAAAGACAAAAATCCCATGACTGCAGTCATGGAGCAGGAATTCTAACAGATCCATCTAGTCCAGCATCCTGTTCTCACAGATGCCTGTAGGACCTGAACACAAGAACACTTCCCCCTCCTACAGTTTCTAGCACCTGGTGTTCAGAAGCATTGCTGCCTTCAGCCATGGAAGCAGAGCTTAGCCATCATGACTAGTAGCTATTGATAGCCTTATTTTTCTCCATGAATTTGCGTGATCCTGTTTTAAAGCTATCCAAGACCCTGGATGCTTTGGGGTGTGCTCAGATAAGAAGGATCACATAAGGAAGCAGAGGCTAATTGTAATTCCTTTCTGTGCCAACTCCTGCGAAATATGTTGACTGTGGAAGTACAGTGTATTTGGGTGCTGGTCCCAATGTTCTTTTATCTTCCTATGCAGCTGTGACTTAAGACCAAACACAAGCCCTGCCCTGGATACGCAGCTTCTTGATTCTACTTTTCTCTTTCTTGTCTCCAGCCAAAAGGGTTTGAAGAGGCTATAAAGTTAATCCCAGACCAAGAGGTTGGTTATCTTGCAATCTGGATCTGTGTTACATCTCCGGGAGATCAAGGGAAGTGATCTCTGATGACCTCTTGACACAAAGTGTTATTTCTTTGCCTTAGTGACATGGACCTACACTTATTATGGTATCTATTATTACCTCTGTCTAGTGTTGCCAAGCATGTCTGTCTGTCTATCATCTATATCTATCATCTATATCTATATCTATCTATCATCCATCTATCTATCTTTAGATTTCAATGTAGACAAGGTGTGGATTTCAGTGTAGACAATGTGTTCCTGAAACAAAGGATAAAGGATGCAAAGTTGACAGAAATTAAATGACACTTTCTTCAATCAGCTGCTCCCAGATCAGACCAATAAGCACACAAAGATAAATACTTTTCTTTTCCTTTTTTGGAACATATCTAGTGATTGTGCTGGGGATAACAGGACTATTTAGATATATAGGGACTGGGGATATTTATAAGGGTTGCAATTTACATCCTACATCGCCATACTCAGTGCTCTGAAAGACGCAGGCAACACCAAGACATAATAATGGCAGCCTTTGAGGCCTCTTTGAATTACTCATAAGAATGACTGTTTATCCTCTATGTAATCTGCTTTTCACTTGCAACTTAAATCCAGTAGATGAAGGCATTTTTTAAAAAAGCATCTCCCACTTCCTACTTGCCTGCTTTTCAGAGGAATGAACAGCACATGAATTGTGTGTCTGGAGAAGTCTTATTCCAGGGTACCATTCTGGTGTTGTGGCTCCCATCTGCCCCAGCCAGCATGGCCAATGATAGATGATGACAGGAGTTGTAGTCTAGCAACATCTGTAGGGCCACAGATTTTCCACTTCTGTCCTATGCCCTACCCACTAGGGACCACCATCCCATAGGAACACAGCTGCCTTATATTGACTTAGACCATTGGCTCATCTAGCCCAGGACTGTCTACATTGACTGGTTTCAGGCGTGGGTCTTTCACTGTTGTACCTGGAGATACCAGGAATTGAACCTGCAACCTTCTACATGCAGATCACATGCTCTATCACTGAGCTACACCCTTTCCACTAATATATCTAAGTTTGAGACTCATCAAAAGACCAAGCACACGGTGACCAGCTCATAATACAGCATCCTGTATTATGGGAACTGAGGAATGTTCTGCTCCCCATCTGTTCTTGAGAGGCTGGGAGAAGGAACCGCTGGAAAGAGGCTGTGGGAATAGAACTACCCTGAGATCTTGTGACTGCAGTAGAAGGCCAGAAGTGTGTTTGGGTCCAAGGATCACCCACCAGCCTTCCCTGCAGCCATGTTGCGTTGATCAATACCACTCTAAGATGAGAGACCGCCAAATTGCCAGATCTTCTTTTGAGCCAGCAACAGTATAGATCACAGAATCTCGGCGCAGAAACCTCCTTCCCGGCGGATCTTCATCTGCCTGAAACAATGTAACAATTAATTTATGCAACAGCTCATTCTTCATTGTTACACAATGGCATATTAAGCCTGACTGACATTCCCCAAGAGCACTGAGCTGGCATCGAGGAGAAGCCATCCGTGCCCAGTGAAAGCCTGGCACACGGAGGCACCGATAATTTGAGTCTCAGGTTGGCATGCTGGCAAATGTGGGATTTTGCCACGCTTTCGTCTTGCTGACTTGGCTCAGGGACTACATATCAGTGGCTTCAAGGCCCCGTGCACACTCTGCGTGCTTGGCAGATTTCTTCCTCACTGCCTGCTCCTTCCTTTATAATGTAGTCTAGCTAGGTCAAACCATCTGAATTATAGGCAGTGAGATGAGAGGCTGCCATAGCCTGGATGGGAATGGAAGAGCTATGGCTTGTGTGTGTGTTCATGCTTGTGTTCATGTGCGTGAGCATGTATGTGTGAGAGTGTGTGTGCATAAGATGCATAAACACATTTCATTTTTCCCCAAAATTTTTATTCATTTTGTAACACAAATGAACAACAAAAACAGAAAAACAAACAATACAAACCAATTCTTGTCTTATCCTTACTTTTTCTAAACATTGTTGGGTGAGCTTTCCCAAGTGCCCCCATCTGATTTTCATTTTAACTCATGTTTAGCAGATTACTTATATCATAATTTTTAACCATTTTTTTATCACACTTGCTTTTACCATAAAAATCTTCATATTTTATCCCTTACAAATAATACTATTTTAAAACACATCATCTTCTACTTCTAACCCTACAGCCTATATCCACTTCCATGCATAAACACATTTCAGCTGTGTCTCAGGACTCAGCTACATTAGTCAAAAAGCTGTGTTTTGAATGCGTTATAAACACGTAACACCAGATGGTGCTGTAGAGCACAAAACTTTTTTATGTGCTTTTTTACATAGCGTTTTTTCCTCTTTGGTTATAACAATTTAATTTAGGACTTATTTATGGTGTTTTCCCCCACTGCATGTAGATCTACCCCTAGTGACACAGTGGAGAGAAAAGTATGGTGCGGAACATCAATAACTGGCATTGTTTAAAAGTTGTCTATGTCCAAGTACCCTCACAGGGCCCACAGCTGACCCCTACCTTGTGACCCCTCTAAATTTCTCCCCCAGTTGTGGGTGAGGCTTGTGACTATACTACCCTCTTCAGGCATTCACTTCAGCCACATTCACACCATGCATTTAAAGCACTTTGATACCACTTTAAACAGTCATAGAACAGTCTCCCAAGGAATTCTGGGAGCTGTTGTTTGTTAAGGGTGCTGAGAGTTGTGAAGAGAAACCCTATTCCATTAGGGCCATTACATTTCCCAGAGTGGTTTAACCGTCAATCTCTCTGTAGCTCTGTGTGGGGAATGGGGGTCTCCTAACAGCTTTCAGAACTTTTAAGAAAGTAAGGTAAAGGTAAAGGGACCCCTGACCATTAGGTCCAGTCGTGGCCGACTCTGAGGTTGCAGTGCTATCTTGCTTTACTGGTCGAGGGAGCCGGCGTACAGCTTCCGGGTCATGTGGCCAGCATGACTAAGCCGCTTCTGGCGAACCAAAGCAGTGCACGAAAATGCCGTTTACTTTCCCGCCGGAGCGGTACCTATTTATCTACTTGCACTTTGACGTGCTTTTGAACTGCTAGGTTGGCAGGAGCAGGGACCAAGCAACGGGAGCTCACCCCATCGTGGGGATTTGAACCGCTGACCTTCTGACGGCAAGTCCTAGGCTCTGTGGTTTAACCCACAGCGCCACCTGTGTCCCTTTAAGAAAGTACAGCTCCCCAAATGTTGAAAGTGGTGTCAGAGAGAATTAAATTTACAGTGTGCATGTAGACTTTGAATTTCTGCACAGGAGCTCTCTGAATCCTTGCTTATCCTAACTGGAAATCCTCACTTTTAAAGAGACATTGATGTCTTTTTCCTCCTGACTGTGAATGCTAATGCAAGGCTAATAAATTCTATGGAGAACGGTACACGTTAAGCGTACATGTACCAGCTTTTGCCAACCTAGTGCTTTCCAGGTGTTTTGGGCTACAGTTCTCATCAGCCTCTTGTTGCCTGTGGCCAATAGGAGTTATGGCAGTGATGTGATCATCTTGTTAATAGTAAGGAATGTGCTGCGTATTTCTTCTAGTGCTTCAGCTCAGCTTGCCCAAGCATCTAGATCAGAGCTTTCCAAACTTTTCATGTTGGTGACATGCTTTTGAGACACACATCATTTCGTGACACAGTAATTCAATTTTACTAGCACGGGGAGAGTTCGTTTGACATACCTACACACTGCAGCCGACACATTAATGTGTCATGACACACAGTTTGGAAAGCTCTGATCTAGATGATGTGGGAGAAGTGACCATATAGGGTAGCATTAAGTCCTTATATAGTTCAGTTTTGTTGTGAATCAAACAATGGCAGCATGGTGGCAATGATCTCCACCCCACTTTCTGGGGAAAAAGAACTTGGAGCTTGGGGAAGGCTGGCTGCTGAAGAAATGGATATATTTTAAATAGGGTTGCCAAATTTAAAACAGTGGAAATCTGGACAGAAAAGTTGTTGAGCCATTTTTGGCAAATTCACAAAAGCTTTTTAGATTTTTTAATGAAGAATCACCAAAAGACGGCACTGCCGACATGGGTTGCCATACATCCAGATTTTCCCAGACATTTTTTTTACTGATTTCTGCCCAGACACTGCTTCCGACTGCAGTATTCTGGAGATATGTCCGGGAAATTCCGGACATATGGCTACGCTATTTAATGTACAATTCTTAAGCCAGAAAAGAGTCACCATGCCAGGGAGCCCTGGCTGACTTACTGTATGGGAAATGCATCTGGAAGACAAAAATGTATCGAGGACTTAGTGTTCTGACATGGTTACCCTTCTTGCCTCGGTTCCTTTCCCCTCCCTTGCTCTTGTTAAGTTTTTTGATGGTGTGAGAACAGTCTTTAATGCCCTGAGAACCTTGGGAGGAGGTGAAGTCCCACACGCAGCTGCCTTAATCAGTTGTGGAGGATAGTGCTGGGTACCTTCTTTGATGTTGGATATTGTTTTGAGAAAGTGAGGCATTGGGAGGTGGTGTCTAATGGATTATCTGCATGTAGCCAGTCTTGGAAGCCACACAGGCTATCTATAAAATCGGAAGGTTTGTGCAGAGTTTCTTTGAAGCTCATGCATGGACTGATTGGCCGCAGGGCCGTGGAAACTGAGGCTACCTAGGGGAGTCGCTTTGCCGCTTCTTGAGGGCTTCCAAGTGGCAGATTGAAGTGCTTGCTTGGTATGTATACCTTGCTTGCTGTTTTGGAATAAAACCTTTAATCTTCTCACTCACTTGTGTATTTTGTTTCACTCATTTTAAAAGAACCACCTTGCCTTGGGCAAGACACTTATGTTAGAATTCCTGGACATGATTGCAGTCATGGGATTGTTGTCTTTCACATGACAGTATATGTTTTGACTCCACAGAGTGTGAAGTGACGAAGACAGGATGTTTGTGTTACTGTGTTCTGTGAAGTGGGACTATTGTCCTTTGTTCTTTTTCTCTTTGCTGTCTGATGCTAGAGAGAGAGGGAGCCATGTTGCAGTGCTCCATGTGTGTTTATATGTGTAAATAAAGTAGATTAGCCAAAATGCTGAGTTGCTGAGGTCTGTCATGCAAGTTGCGAAGACTCTGCAGATCCCTAAGTGTGCCGGTGTCAGTTGGCATCGGTCATTGTGATGTTTGGGCAGAAGAAAGCTTTTGAAGCTCCCGAACGATCGACCAAGAGGGAGAGAACATGCCAGTAGAGAATGTGTCTCTGCCAGGGTCCTACTCGAGTGTAGCCTGAACTCCTAACAACTCACGCTATGCCTTCACTGGCTTCCACAAGTGCCCACGAGCACAGACAGAAGTTATGGCTGGGAGCACAGCATCAAGAAAACCGAAGTGGCTAGACTGATTGCAACCTTCCAAGAGGAATGTGCAACACTGCCTTTCAGAGCAGCTGTCTTGGACGGTGCTGTAACAAGTGATAAGATAATACAAAGATGACAGGATCACTGCGCTGACAATTCCTGCACCGTGACTCCGCTAAGCGTTTCCTTTATGGCATGAAGGTTGGTACCATTTCCGTTGTGCCTTAGAGCATATCAGAACATTGGGAGCTGCACTTCACTGCACTCGGTGAAGCAGAGAGCAGAGCTGTGTGTTGACAGCGGAGAGCTAAGCGCTACACCGCTTCTGGTTTAAGCAGGAACCATTTGCCGTATGGCCATTGCTCCCACTTCCAATTGATGCAAAGGCATAGCCTTACATGGGAAGGACGCAAACTTCCTGAACCTTTGAGGATGGTAGAAATGGAACCTGTCTAATGTGGAGGAGAGCTACTGATAACATTTCTTAAGAGCTGTGCAGCATCAAGCCTCTGCGTATTCTCTGTCTCTTGCCACCACAAGGGCTAGGAATTTGTTTTATAATGAACACCGAGATTCTGAATTCAACATGATTCTCAGAATCTGAAGCACAGAGATTATACACATTCTTTTTCTTCTAGGCATCCACTATATAAGGGACATGGGTGGAACTGTGGTCTAAACCACCGAGCCTCTTGGGCTTGCTGATTGTAAGGTCG